GAGAAAGGGGGGAAGAGAGAGAGAAAATAAAAGGGAGTGGAAGAAGAAACGAAGAAGAAGGAGAAGAACAAAACCAGGAGAAGAGAAAAGAGAAAGAAGGGGAGGGGGAAGAGCGAGAGAGAGAGGATAAGGGGGAGGGGGGACGACCAGCAGAGAAAGAAAACAAGGGTCAGGCGAGTGGCAGAAAAGGAGGATAAATGGAAGGGTATTTTAGGAAGAATAGAGATTAAAACGTAGAGTGGGAAGATTATTTCCGGACGGGAGTACTAATTATCAAATTAAATAATAATGCATCTCTAATCATTATGCTAAATTCAAACTCAATAAAATATTTTCATCATATATTCATTTTCTTACTATTTTTTATATTTTTAAAATGTTAAAAATTTATTTATCAATTTTGAAATTTGCCCCCGGCCAACTTATTTTGAAATTCGAGCATACTAAATTAACGCGAGATATTAATTTATTAAAAAAATTTAATTTTTAGTAAATTTCAGTATTTTAATTTTTTAAGTTTATTGTTAGTTTGCGGAATATATTTTAATATCTCAAGGAAAACATATTCAATAATAGTAGTTCCCTTAAACAAATCTTAAATTAAATATATAGTGGAGTACCACAATCTTTTAGTGGAGTATCACAATTAACACGAACTACTCCTCCTAATCCCTTCGCTCACTTGCCACACAATGATTATTGGTTGAAATTTTCTGTATCACCGAGTAACATTCTATTTTTGTCTCGCCATTGCTAATTCTCTAAGGAAAAAAAGAAATAAAATGAAATGCAATTTCTTGGAGGAGAGAGAGAGAGTAGATACTCAAAAAACATTTGGATTCGGGATAGAATGATGCTTACATGATCTCAATGTCCATATTTAAGATGTGGACCTTCTCACAATTTTAATGGCGCATGTATATGAATATATTTTTTTGCAAAAAGGCTTCTTCTTTTATGCTACAAATTTTAAGGGTCCGTTTGGTGAGTTTTGGAGATATGATAAGATATAAGTTATGAAATTAGAAAAAAATAATATGAGTTTTGAAACATGAAACGAATTTGTTTGGAGAGATTTAAAATTATGATTTAATTAGTGATAAGCGATGGTGACTGGCAACGGAGATCGTCAAGGGTGACAAGCAATGGTACTCGGTGACGAAGAATGACCAATGGTTGAGAGAGATATCAAACGTAACCCCCGTATTGATATCTTCCAAATTCGGGAGATATCGAAATCCTCGATTTGAAGGATTTATGATATTTGAAATATCGAATTCGATATCTTTTTTGGCTTCACCAAATATCCAAAAAGAATTCTGATATCTGAAGATATCAAAACTCATATCTTGTTTGCTCAACAAACACACCAAAGTCTATACAATGAACATGGACCTTAGGAGTACCTAGGAGTTTGCCTTCGAAGAAGGGTTGGAGGAAATACCGCAACAAGACTTCAGATTTAGAGAGGGTCTAAAAACCCAAAGTAAGAAACTACTCAAGACTTATTAATTCTTATATATATTAAAAGTAATAATAGAAATTAGGTAAGCATTTGTGATAAAAATATCTCTAATTTCTCTCTCGAAATGAAAAATAAAAAATTAAAATTGTTATTTCGTCCGTCTAAGAATAATCTTACCACTTTGACCTTACACGTAAATTAAGAAAAAGTAAAAAATATTTTGACTTTTCATATTTGTCCTTGGATCATTGTAAAAAGTGAAATAAAGTATAGGTATGAATAGTAATTAATGAGTAAATGTGAGGGTAGTGATGTACTTTAAAGAAAAAGCATTTGCCAAAAAAAAAAATGTAATGCACGATGATCAAATAACCAAGGTCGTCCCAAGAGTATGTGACACGCATCCATAGGGATGATATCACACCATACGTCATCCTTGTATGCTTTGCCAATGCTCAAAGAAATGAGGCTCTGTGTATCAACTTGTAAGCCCTTGCCGCCCTTGCCATGATTCAGCCATTGAATCGTGTATGGCTTAGGATGCAGTGATGTTTTTAAGTGCAGCTTTTCCACCATAGTTTTGGAAGCCACGTTAGTGCAACTCCCACTATCAATGATAAGAGAACACACCTTCTTTTGGACGGTGCAACGAGTGTGAAAGATGTTCTCTCGTTGCAATTGTTCTTCCGGGCATGCTATGGTACTCAAAGTCCTTCGAATGACCAGGAGCTCTCCTTCATCGGGGCCAATGCATTCATCTTGCTCTTCAATTTCTTCCATGTTTTCTTCAGCCCAAGTTGGATCAAATTCTTCTTCATCACACTCAACGATTGCCATCACCTTTTTGTTGGGACACTCGTTAGCATAATGACCTCGTCCTTGACATCAAAAGCAAATGGGTGCTTTCCTCGTTGAGTGTGTTCTAGGAGGAAGAGAGGAGGAGGGATTCTTCAGTAAGGGAGAGGGAAGGGATCTGTGGTCAGTGGGGGGAGTTTTGGTGGAGTTGAAAGGTGCTTTGGGTGGAGAATAGTTTGGATTTTGGAAAGTGGTGTTGGGCCGTGTGTAAGAGGGGTTACCTTTGGAGAGAAGGGCTTTGGATTTCTTTATTTGTGCTTTAACCTTAAGGGCTAATTTGGTAAGCTCTTCCAAGGACTCATAACTTTGTAACTCTATCGTATTGGCTATTTGCAGGTTTAAGCCGAACAGGTATCGTACAAAGGTTTGTTCATCATCTTCTTGCAAGTCACACCTTAGCAAGAGTTCCTCGAACTCACGGGTGTATTCTTCAACCGATTTTGAACCTTTCTTAAGCGTTTGAAGCTTGGCAAAATTCTCACGAACATATTCAGCAGGCAAGAACTTCTTCTTTAGGAGAGACTTCATTTTGGCCCATGTGGCCACCGGCTCCTTGTGGTTTCTTCTCCTTTTGGTGCACGTGTTAGTCCACCAAGTAGATGCATACTTACGGAACTTCAAGGCCACTATCTTGACCTTCTTCTCATCGGAGACTTCTCTGAAATCGAAAACACGCTCCACCGTCTCTAGCCATTCTAGAAACTCGTCCGGGTCGTTCTTTCCCTCAAAAGTTGGGGCATCAACTTTGAAGTCAGACCCGTCATTAGTTCTGGCCTTATTGGTGCTGCTGGTGCTCGCATCATCCTCATGATCACTCCCTTGAAGGGCATTGAGCTTTATATTGGTGAGCTTAGCTACCTCTTTGGCCAAGTACTCTACTTGGGCTTTTAAGGCGGCGTTGGATGCAACAAGCTCCTCATGGGACATGGGTTGAGATTCATTTGACATGGTTGATTTGGAGACAATGGGTGGTAGAAAAGGAAATGGGTAAAGTGGAGGGAAGTGTTTTGGTCCTTGGGGATGTGGAACAATGGGCTCTGATACCAAATGTTATGCCCGAGCTCCGGGAATAAGCTTTAAGTTTGGGAAAAAGCTTCTTAAACCGCAGGAGAAAGGAATAATCGATTATCAATTTATGATAATCGACTAACAAGAGGTTCAGTTTCTTGGGAAGGAATTTTGGGAGTTCAGGGAAGGGAAATAGTCGATTGTCACTTTAGCAATAATCGATTGTGGGATTGTGGAGTTTAAGCCAAGAAGATTCCGAAGGGTAGGATAGTCGATCATCAATAGTTGATAATCGATTATTTGGGGTTTCAGATTCTGCCAAGGAAGTTCAGGGGTGTTGGATAGTCGATTATCAGTGAAGGATAATCGGTTATCAGAGTTACCCGAGGTTTCAATATGGAAGGAAAATGGCTGGGCTATGTAGGGAAGTTTTGGGAAGGAATGATAGGGTGTTTTCTGGGTTAAGGGAAGAAAAGAGGGGGATTTCAGAGTGAGAAATGGATGGATATGGGGTGGAGAAAATTAGGAATAGATATTACCAAGTTGGGGCTAAGTGATATTACACACTCTTATCTTAACTTGTGGTTGAGTCTAGTATTTAAATAAGATATGACACACTTATCTAAATAACTAGAACCTAAAACTCACACACAAGAGAACCACTCTTAAGATATAGATTTAGGAATTTAAAATAGCACACACAAACAAGTGTATTACTAAGTTGGAAATTGGGAATACAATGTGCAGTGTGTTTACAATGCTCAGGGATGAGCTTATATAGGCATAGAAAAAGGAGACTACCAAGTCTCTTATTCATACAAACTAAAGGAATTAATGGCCAATTGTTGATGTTCCTTTGGTGGGGGAAAAACACAGGGGTTATTGTACTTGTAGGGTAGGATTTTGGCCATTAATGGTAGGAGGGAATATGTGAATATAATTCACAATTGATTGGCTTTGGTGGGGCTGTTTTTGGGCAGGAGAAAAAGGTGGGATGGTAGGTTATTTGGATGTATTTCCTAGGCTGGATATGGGGTAAAAACATGGGAGGGGTTGAAGGGTGTTGGTGTGGGTCAAAGTGTCTTGGATTTTATGGCTGTTTGTTTAGCCAAGTGGAGGTGTAAGGGAGTGGTAATGGCAGGGTTATGGCATGGTGTTTTTGGTCAGGGATGAAGGAAAATAAATGTAGTTTTGGGTTTATTATTTTGGATATTTTGGGGTTTGGATTGGATGAGAATGGCTGGGTTTTAAGTGGGAGTTGGGCTCAGGGAAATTATGGCTATGTGGCGGGTTTTAGGATTGATAAGTTCGGTCCAAAAGGATTCATAACACTTAGCCATTATTCCGTTAATTTTCTTAACGACTTTAGAGTCGTTGGTAGTCGCCCGGGGTATATCAGACGGGGTACCGGAAGGGACCCCAGCTGACTCGGTCGGTACCCCCGTATCGTGGGGACGGTACCCTGGTACCGTGGGGCCGGTAACCCCTATCGCCAAGGGGTACCGTGAGGTACCTGAACCGGTCTGCATTTTGTTGCTTGAGTCAAGGATTGATTCCGAGACTTTGTGTGTTGCATGACGGTAAACATGGGTAGCAATACCTAGTGTTAGGCCGCTAATTGAGTGTATTGAATGTGATGAAGTATGTGTATGATGTATGAACATGTATGCTATAAACTAATGGCGATTAAAGCATGAAATACCTAGAACAAACCTAGGATCTGACCTAAATGGAAATAATGGCAAGAAATGTCATAAGTTAATAAGTTAGAGTCATGTGGTACCTGCTGGGTCCAATGGCTGTCCGGGTAAAAACGTGTACACGGGGATCTAAGAACTGTCGTTCCGAAGGGGACAGGGATCTCACCCACCCAACGAGGAACTCCCGAGTTAGTTGAGCTTGACCTTCGTTCTGAAGGAGAAGGTCATGACTCCATAGGCAAGTCGTATACACTTAAGCTTTTACTTAGTTTAGGTTAAGAGCCGAGTACAGAAAGAACGTAAGGTAGAGGAAAATGGAAAGAGTTACCATTGCTTCCCTGCAATTTCTAATTCTTTAATGATGATGTTTATTACATATGTTATATTCTGTATGTTGTGTGAATATGTTGAGCATGTTGTGTGCATGATATCGTATGAGGATATGGGCTAGTGGGATCATCTATGGGCATAGCTGTATGTTAGATATTTCTCACTTAGCTTCAATGCTGAGCGTGTAGCCCTTTTTCCTATTTGCTACNAAGAGTTACCATTGCTTCCCTGCAATTTCTAATTCTTTAATGATGATGTTTATTACATATGTTATATTCTGTATGTTGTGTGAATATGTTGAGCATGTTGTGTGCATGATATCGTATGAGGATATGGGCTAGTGGGATCATCTATGGGCATAGCTGTATGTTAGATATTTCTCACTTAGCTTCAATGCTGAGCGTGTAGCCCTTTTTCCTATTTGCTACACGTAGGTAATTCAGGAAATGATGAGCTTGGAGCCAATCCCGGAGGGCGATGAGGAGGCTGAGATGTGCGTGGCGGTGTTCGACGACTTTGAACTCTTATTAATTACCTAAATAACTTATTACTATTTCGGGCATGATTCCCAAGTTGTGTTTTGGATTATGGATTCAGCTTCCGCAACCATTTTGATTTACTCTGATGGATAATTAAATATTCTTTTGAATTAAATGTTTTAAATTGGTTTGGAAAATTATTGAGTTTGAGTACCAATTTGGTAGCAAACCGATCCGCTGATCCTGGTATTTGGGTTATGTGGGTTGGGGTGTTACGTTTTGGTATCAGAGCATATGGTTTTTAAACCGATCTTCGGATCATAAATAGATGGTTTCCAAAAGCTGCACCACCTCTCTTGCGACTCATCAGCCCCGAGTAGGTAATAAGTTTATGCCTTTGTTTGTTATGTGCTAATGACTGATTAGGGATTTATGTGTGTAAATTTAGAATGAGTAACGCCTCGACACACGCTCATGACAACACCCAACACGTGGGTGACGACCACAATGATGCCGAGACAGAGGCATCTAGCTTCGTGCCTCAGCAGAATGCTGGACAACCCAATGTGCCACTGAACGCAGGAGATAATCAGAATTTCGGGAATCCGCCCGAGAATGTCATGCCTGCTTTCATGACCCAGTTCCTACAGCAGATGGCCAACGCGCCGATGTTCCAGCAACCTCAGCCGCCACGGCGGCACATCACCTTCAAAACATTGAAGGATAATGTAGCGGAGGAGTTCCTTGGGGATAAAGTGGCCGAACCTAAAGTGGCTCTTGATTGGATTGAACAGGTGGCTAGGGTTCTCAACGACTTGGATGTACCGGTTGTAGATCATCCAAAGTTGGCATCTCAGCTACTCCGCAAGGGAGCATACGAGTGGTGGAAACGCGTTGACAGCGAGCCGCAGACGCCGAAGCCTTGGACATGGGCACATTTTGATTGGGCTTTCAAGAAGGAATACATCCCAGCTCGTTTTCGAGAGGAGAAGCGGTCAAAGTTCATGGAGCTGGAACAGGGGGACATAACCCTTGTCGAGCTACGATAGAAGTTTGATCATTTGGCTCAGTTTGCACCCACGTTGGTGTCTACACCTGCTGACAGAATTGAAGAGTTTAGGAAGAGGTTGCGCCCTGATGTGCGACCTTATGTTTCTACCGTGGTCACCACTGACTTCTCAGTAGCATATGACTTGATGGCTAAGGCGGAGAAAGTCGTGGATGATCTGAAGGCAAGCTTGGGTGCTGGGGGGACAGTTCCTAGCCAGCGACCCACTACCAGCGCGGCGCCGAGCGGCAAGAGATCTTTTGGTGGTACTAAGGGTACCCAAAAGTTCAAGAAGACCAAGTCCGTGCCGGCTCAGTCACAGGCGGCGAGCAACCGAAGCAAACCTTCCAAGCATCCAGTGTGTAACCTTTGTGGAAGAAACCACCCTGGCGAATACTGGTTCGCGCAGGGCTTATGTTTAGGATGCGGGAAAGAAGGACACTTCCGCAAGGATTGCCCAACTAACCCTGGGCGTGCCTTCCCCGTGGCCGAGGTGCAGACACAGACAGCTGGTCAGAGGCCAGCACAGAGCCAGAGGTCTACCGCGGGTTCAAACCCACCGAGAGGACAGAATCAGAACCAGAACCGCCGAGCAGGGACACGCGCATGCAGGCACCTATGTCATGCAGGGGCGTACCGAAGTGAACCGCGACGTCATCTTGGGTATGTTTTCACTATTCGACACTCCTATGCTTGCATTAATTGACCCGGGATCTACGTTGTCTTACATATGTGTTCCTATGCCTGAGAAATCTGATATCCAGAGGGGTGATCTAGAATACCCTATGGTAGTATCTAATCCGTTAGGGCATAGCATGCGACTCCATCATCTGTACCGCAACTGTCCGTTGACGGCCCACGGACATCGGTTGTCCGCGAATCTGATCGAGCTACCATAAAAGGAATTTGATATTATCCTTGGTATGGATTGGTTGACTGAGCGTCAAGCGATTATTGACTATGGTTTGCGCACTGTACGACTGAAGACTGACGATGGTGACGTGGTAGAGGTTAATGGGGAGTTGTTCCCCAAGCCCCTAGAATTCATGTCCTACATGCAAGCAAAGCGGTTGATCCGGAAGAAATGTGAGGCATTCTTGTGCCACGTTCGCGACACCAGGAAGGAGATCCCTAAACAGAAGGATATCCCTACAGTATGTGGCTTCCCTGATGTGTTTCCCGACGACCTCCCTGGCTTGCCACCGCCAAGGGAAGTGGAGTTCTCGATTGATCTGGTTCCGGGAACAGAGCCAATCTCTGCAAAACCATACCGCATGGCACCCGTAGAGATGAAGGAGCTGAAGGCTCAGTTGCAAGAATTACTAGACAAGGGATTCATCAGGCCGAGTGAGTCTCCATGGGGAGCGCCAGTTCTCTTTGTCAAGAAGAAAGATGGGTCCATGAGGTTGTGCATCGACTATAGGAAGTTGAATAAGGCTACGGTGAAAAACCGCTACCCATTACCGCGGATTGACGATTTGTTTGATCAGCTCAGGGGAGCTACAGTGTTCTCGAAGATAGACCTTCGGTCAGGTTATCATCAGATTCCCGTAAAGAAAGAAGACATACCGAAGACAGCCTTTCAAACACGTTATGGACATTATGAGTTCACGGTGATGCCGTTCGGGCTGACAAATGCCCCGGCGATTTTCATGGACTTGATGAACAGTGTCTTCCGTCCCTACCTAGACCAGTTTGTGGTAGTATTCATCGACGACATCTTGGTGTATTCTAAGACACTAGAGGAGCACGCAAAACACTTGCAGACAGTACTTGGTGTGCTAAGGGAGCACAAGCTGTATGCCAAGCTGTCAAAGTGTGAGTTTTATCTTGATGAGGTCACGTTCTTTGGGCATGTGATCTCCCACGAGGGCATCAAGGTGGACCCTAGCAAAATAACAGCGATAACGGAGTGGAAGATTCCGAGGAATGCACGAGAGGTGAGGAGCTTCCTCGGCTTAGCTGGGTATTATCGGCGCTTCGTGGAGGGCTTCTCATCCATAGCGTCGCCATTAAATAAGCTACTGGAGAAGGAGGTAAAATTTGCGTGGACAGACGCATGTCAACTGAGTTTTGAGAAACTCAAGAAGTGCCTGACAGAGGCACTGGTGCTGGTGCAGCCAGTGCCTGGCAAGGATTACACAGTTTTCAGTGATGCATCGCACAGTGGACTTGGATGTGTTCTTATGGAGGAGGGTAAGGTTGTGGCCTACGCCTCCCGACAGTTGAAACCTCACGAGGGTAACTACCCTACACATGATTTGGAGTTAGCAGCGGTGGTTTTCGCACTGAAGATTTGGCGGCACTACCTATTTGGTGAGACTACCTACATCTACACAGATCACAAGAGCTTGAAGTACCTGCTAACATAGAAGGAGCATAACCTGAGGCAACGGAGATGGTTGGAATTGATCAAGGACTACGATTGCTATATCGACTATCACCCTGGTAAGGCCAATGTCGTGGCTGATGCCTTAGACTATGGCTGAACTACGACTCCAGCCAACATTGGATGGTGAGATCCGTACGGCCCAGGCTACGGATGATTTTTGTGCGAAGACTCGTGAGCTTGTCTCTAAGGGGGAGAGACAAGACTTCACCATTGATGGTAGTGGAGGGCTGCTCTTTAGGGATCGCTTGGTGGTACCAAACGGTGAAGTGAGAGAACGAATGCTACAGGAAGCTCATGAAACCGTGTACACCATGCACCCTGGCAGCAACAAGATGTACCAAGACCTCAAGAAGACTTACTGGTGGCCGACGATGAAGCGAGAAATTTCAGAGTTTACGGCTAAGTGCTGGACCTGTCAGCAGGTCAAGGCAGAGCATCAAGTGCCGAGTGGGTTGCTACACCCACCAGTCGTTCCTGAGTGGAAGTGGGAAAGGATCACGATGGACTTCGTGATAGGTTTACCCTTGTCGAATAAGAAGAACGATGCAGTGTGGGTCATAGTGGACCGATTGACTAAGTCAGCTCACTTCCTCCCTATCTGACAAGGACTTTTCCTTGCAGAGGTTAGCTGAGCTTTATGTTCGAGAAATTGTGAGACTGCATGGAGTGCCAGTGTCTATCATCTCAGATCGAGATCCGGAATTTACATCACAGTTTTGGAAGAGTCTTCAGAGGGCCCTTGGCACTAGGCTCAATTTCAGCACAGCATTTCACCCTCAGACAGATGGCTAGTCGGAGAGAACGATTCAGATTTTGGAAGACATGATGAGAGCTTGTGTCATCAATTTCGGTGTTGTAGAACTCCAGTTTGTTGGACCGAGCTGAGTGAAACTAAGCTGGAAGGACCCGACCTGGTTCGTGAGGCGGAAGAGAAGGTCTGCATAGTGCGAGATAGATTGCGAGTTGCTTCGGATCGTCAGAAATCCTACGCCGATCTCAAGCGTAGGGAGATTGAGTACAATGTGGATGATTGGGTGTTTCTCAAGGTTTCTCCGTGGAAGAAAGTGTTGAGGTTTGGCAAGAAAAGGAAGCTGAGTCCTTGGTTCATTGGACCGTATCGAGTCATTGAACGCGTAGGACCAGTGGCTTACCATTTGGAGTTACCTCCGGAACTACAGAAGATTCACGATGTATTCCACGTGTCTATGCTGAGAAGATATCGATCTAACCCGTCACATGTCCTACCTGAGGGAGCAGTCACCCTCGATGAGAGTCTTACCTATGAGGAAGAACCCGTTCAGATCTTGGCACGTGAAGTAAAGGAACTGAGGAACAAGACAGTTCCCTTGGTCAAGGTGCTTTGGCGAAACCACGCGGTGGAGGAAGCAACCTCGGAGACCGAGGAGTCCATGAGAGCTCAGTATCCTCAACTCTTCAGTGACCAATGACTTAGGTAAATTTCGAGGTCGAAATTCTTTTAAGGGGGAGAGAAATGTAACGCCCCGAAACCCAGCCTATCAGAATTAATTAATTGGAAATAATTAATTAATTACCTGAGACGGACTCGGTGGAAAATTATATATATCTTTCGTTTGACAATAAAGATTATACCGTTGTGTAGGGTTCGACGGATTGAATCTAACGGTGAAATCGGATTCAGATTTGGAGTTAGTGGGCCCGGAAGGTGCGTTTGGGCTAGGTACGTTTAGTTAATACGGAGCCCAAAACCCCAAAAATATAAATACACTTCCTACACGCCCTAAACCCCTACGCCTCACCATATTTACGTAACTTCCCCTCCCCACTCTCTCACGTCTCTCGTTTCTCTCGATCGAGGCAGCAACGACGCACGAAGGAGAAGAAGAGAAGAAGAAGAAGAAGAGGAAGAATCAGACGCCGTTGTTCGTGGGTACTATCTCATAGTTTAATCTTCGAATTCAAGGTAAGTACGTGGTCATCTAACGTATAGTTATACTCATAGGTTTGAATCTTACGTTCGTAGAATCGTTACGGTTGATCTATTTGAACTATACGTGAAATATGCTTTGTTTGCATAGGTTATAATGTGGAAAACATGTTTTCGGGTAATATGATTGAGGGATGGTTAGATAATGTTGGATTGATAGTTTATGATCTGTTATGCTTGTGTTTACTGGAACTAAAGTTGGTTGATGGATGAAAACGGAGCTGGTGCAAGTCTGGTGTTCACCGCGACAGACGGTAGGGGGGGTACCGTTGACACGGGTACCTGGCTACCGCCAGCCTCCCCGGTTTCGTTCCTCTCTGGCGGTACCTACTTAGGACGGGACCACGGTGCCGTATGAACGGTAGACTCTACCGACCGGTAGAGGCTACCGTGATGGGCTACCGGAAGGGACCCCAGCTGACTCGGTCGGTACCCCCATACCGTGGGGACGATACCCTAGTACCGTGGGGCCGGTAACCCCTACCGCCAAGGGGTACCGTGAGGTACCTGAACCGGTCTGCATTTTGTTGCTTGCGTCAAGGATTGATTCCGAGACTTTGTGTGTTGCATGACGGTAAACATGGATAGCAATACCCTGTGTTAGGCCGCTAATTGAGTGTATTGAATGTGATGAAATATGTGTATGATGCATGAACATGTATGTTATAAACTAATGGCGATTAAAGCATGAAATACCTAGAACAAACCTAGGATGTGACCTGAATGGAAATAATGGCAAGACATGTCATAAGTTAATAAGTTAGAGTCATGTGGTACCTGCTGGGTCCAATGGCTGTCCGGGTAAAAACGTGTTCACGGGGATCTAAGAACTGTCGTTCCGAAGGGGACAGGGATCTCACCCACCCAACGAGGAACTCCCGAGTTGGTTGAGCTTGACCTTCGTTCCGAAGGGGAAGGTCATGACTCCATAGGCATGTCGTATACAGTTAAGCTTTTACCTAGTTTAGGTTAAGAGCCGAGTACAGAAAGAACGTAAGGTATAGGAAAATGGAAAGAGTTACCATTGCTTCCCTGCAATTTCTATAAGAAATTACTACTACAAATAATGTATACAATATAAGACATACAACACACTTATACAACTCGTACAACACACGTACTATAGCATACTCCTATACCCGATCACCCTAGTAGATACCCGTATCGACATACAATCTATAAAGAGTGAATCGAAGTTACGTGAGCGTGTAGCCCTTTTTCCTATTTGCTACACGTAGGTAATCCAGGAAATGATGAGCTTGGAGCCAATCACGGAGGGCGATGAGAAGGCTGAGATGTGCGTGGCGGTGTTCGACGACTTTGAACTCTTATTATTTACCTAAATAACTTATTACTATTTCGGGCATGATTCCCAAGTTGTGTTTTGGATTATGGATTCAGCTTCCGCAACCGTTTTGATTTACTCTAATGGATAATTAAATATTCTTTTGAATTAAATGTTTTAAATTGATTTGGAAAATTATTGAGTTTGAGTACCAATTTGGTAGCAACCTGATCCACTGATCCTGGTATTCGGGTTATGTGGGTTGGGGTGTTACACTGCGTGTTCTCCGATATCTCAAAGGTCACCCCGGTCAGGGACTTTTGTTACATCGCGATGGTGATCTTACTCTTACCGCCTTTTCTGACTCCGATTGGGCAAGTTGTCCGTTGACACGACGGTCAGTGACTGGCTACTTCATAATGCTTGGCGGGTCTCCTATTTCTTGGCGTACCAAAAAGCAAACTACAGTTTCTCGATCTTCCGCTGAAGCCGAATATAGAGCAATGGCAAATGCATGTTCTGAGATTCGGTGGTTACGTGGGCTTCTTGCTGCTTTGGATGTACCGTGCTTTGCGACTCCGAGACTATACTGTGATAACAAATCCGCCCTATTTATTGCTGCTAATCTGGTGTTCCATGAACGGTCAAAAAATATTGATATTGACTGTCATATTGTACGTGAATGCATTCAACGTAATCATGTTGTCACTGCCTATGTGCTTACACCTCTCCAGACAGCTGATATTTTCACAAAAGCTTTGCCAGGCCCTCTTTTTCAATCTCTCTTATTCAAGTTGGGCATTTTTGATATTCATGCTCCAACTTGAGGGGAAGTGTTAGCCCATATATTTATGTATTTGTAGTTGCATTATGGACAGGCCCTATTGTACATGTATAAAACTCCCCTCATTGTTTAATGATAACACAAGTTCAGTTCACAGTATTAACTCCTACTTTAAAATTTTCAACAAACAGCAAAGAGACTTTCTTTTGAACTTTATTTAAACCCTTTCCCTAAAATTCAGGAACATGAACTGCGTAGGTCACTTAATAGGCACCTTGACGTATTCTTTGCCCAAATTTCCACTCATCTATGCTTTATCCTTCTATGTAGGAATGAAAATGAAGTGTGACAACCACTTTGGAAGAGGTGAGGTCGATGAACAGAAGAAGCTGCCCAGTTTCTTTACAGTTTTTTTATTTTTCTTTTCTTATGTATTTCGAACTCTATACTATAAATGAACCGTATGGATTGTGGTTTTTGGTTCTGTCGCATGCCAACCAAGGCTGTGGGATTTGTGGTGGCTTGCCCTGGCCTAGTTAGTTTAAGTGCTGCGTGAGAGTTTGCAGTGAGGGCACTGCAAATTCTAAGTGTTGATGGAGCGTTTATGTTTTATTTTTTACACCCCCTTGACACAAACCCCTTTCCAAAAACATTGATTTTTTACTACACCCACACTATACAAAAAGAATTTTAAGCCAAGTTTTAAACCAATTTTTGACCCTGATTTTTGGAAATTGTTTGTAAAAAGTTGGACCAGTTTTGAAATCATCATTTTTAAAAAAAAAATAGTGTTTGAGCTCAATTTTGAAACTTTTTGAGCAAAACGATAGCTTTACACACTTGGTTTTTGTTTTCCTCTTTGGATAGGACTGTTAGGAAATTAAGGGTAGAAAGTTAGGCTTCCTAGTATAATTAATGTTTGTGTTCCACTTGTTTGTCTAAAATCATATCCATCTTTTGACCACTATGGTTATTCTCGAACAGAAACAAAAAAACCTTTTCAAATTTACTAAAAAAAGTGTTTTTGAGTTTTTTGGATAATTCTTTTTCTATGATCTTTAGGGTCCGTTCCATAGGACTTGTTTTTTCTACTTATTACTTATTCTTATTAAAATAAGATCAGATCAGACCGAATCAGATCATACCGAATCAGATCAGATCCAATCAGATCTGATCCAATCAGATCAGATCAGATCCAATCAAATCAGACCAGATCCAATCAGATCAGACCAGATCCAATCAGATTAGATCAGATCCAATCAAATAATATCAAATCAGGAAAAAATATAAAAATAATATTTATAATTTTCAAGGATTAAATAATAATTACTATTATTTGACTAAATCACTTTACTTTATTTAAAGCTACACACACCTAAATCTTAATTAATATTATAATTTTAAATATTATTATTATTTTTGTATTACTATTATATTTCAACTACAAAGCATTATTTTAAATAATTCCTTAGCTTGTAGGAATGATGCATGGAAGTAATGTTAAAGCTTAAAAAGTTATATTTTCATACTTTTAAAAGACTGTTTTAAAATGCTGGTTTATAAAATAATTATAGAAAATTTAGTTTTCAAAATCATAAATATTTTATACTTAAAAGACTAATATACACAAGAGTATTTAATGACAAAATTGATAGAGGTGAAAGAAATATTAGTATTTAAGATTTTATATGATCTTTAATTTGAAATATGAAATCTATTATTAGGTAATATGCATATAGAATGTGATTTTTTTGTAGAATAGCTTCCATATTTTCTAATATTTGGTTATTTTAATAGCGATTATTTAGTTTTCACAAATATTAAAATAGCATCCATACATGATTTTCTTATTTTACTTTTTTATATCTATATGAATCTTAATACTTTAAAACATCTAAATTTTGTAATAAATTTAAGTTTAATTTCAATCAAATTGAAATTTATTTATATCATACTCCCTCCGTCCCCCTGTATTTATCCAAATTTGACTTTTGGAACTGTTCATCTGAGCACTTTGACTCATCAAATTCTCTCAATGTGTAAGCCTAAATATAGTCATGTGTGATCTTGTTTGATTTGTCTTAACACATAGATTATTAATATATAATTTTTTAATATACAAATTACAAGATAAAATGGATTAAAGAAGTGCATTGGATGGTGTGTAAAAATGAAAGTGGACAAATACAGGGGGACGGAGGGAATATCTAATTAGATAAAATTAGAACTAATAAGTTCAGTTCAGATCAGATCCAATCAGATCAGATCAGATCGAATCAGATCAGATCCAATCAAATCAGATCAGATCTAGTCAGATCAGATTAGATCCAATCAGATTAGATCTGACCCAATCAGATCAAATCAGACTCAATCAGATCAGATCTAGTCAGATCAGATTAGATTAGATCCAATCAGATCAGATCTGACCCAATCCGATCAAATCAGACTCAATCAGATCATATCAGGCCAAATTAGATCAAATCAGATCAGAACTTCAAAAATTCAGATCAGGCATACGGAACAGAGCCTTAAGTGGTGATTTAGTCTCTTAATATAAGTATTTTTTAGGAAGGACTCTAGGATTTAATCCAAGCAGATTGTTTTGGAATTCGTCTACTTATTTTTGGCCTTGGGTTTATTTGAAAAATACCTTTCAAACGTGGCATTGGTGGTACAGCACTTTTGACCCCTTAAGCAACAGATCTAGAAGGAAATGGCGTTGTGAATAGAAAAACACTTGATTGGAAGGGCGAGCTCCTTATATTGGGCCGTACTAACTCCCAAAAGTTCCAAGTAAATCCAGATTTGAGCACCTCTAGTCATAAATACTTATGAAAATAGGTTTAGACTATGAGCGCAAAAATTGCTGATAAGTACCTTCAATTTTGTGATAATAACTCCTAGGTCCCATCATTTTTGTAAATATACTCCGATTTATCTTAAAATTTTCGAAAACTTACTCCAGGATGACATTCTGTCAATCTACCGTTACTCCGTCATCTTCTTCATCTTCCTCTTCCTTTTTCTCATCTTCTTCGACCTTCTTCTTCTTCTTCTTATTTTTCTTCTTCTTTTTCTTTTTCTTCTTCTGATTCTTCTTTTCTTCTTTTCTTTTTTTCTTTCTATTCTTCTGATCCCTTCTTTTGATTTGATGCGACCCCCCCCCCACCCCTCTCTCTTTTTTTTACTTATTTTATAGAGTAAATTCCCAAAATAGTCCTTTGTAATAAGGGGTTTTCCCAAATTAGTCCTCAATAAGTTTTAATTACCTACATAGTCCTCTATAATTAAGATTTGTTCCCAAAATAATCCTTTGTAATAAGGTGTTTTCCCAAATCAGTCCTCAATAAGTTTTAATTACCTATGTGGTCCTCTATAATTGAGATTTATTCCAAAGATAGTCCTTTGTAAATAATGTTACCCAAATGAGGATTAATTGATGGTATTTTTTATTCGCTAAATTTAGAATTAATTCTTAAAATAATCATTTATAATGAAGTATTTTTCCCAAAATGGTTTTTTAATTAAAGATGTGTATTTGATTTGAAATTTAATTTTTTTTAAGTTTTAAATAATTCATAAATTATTGATGAGTAAATTCTCAAAATGGTCCTTTGTAATAAGTAAGGTGTTTTTCCAAATCAGTCCTTAATAAATTTTAATTACTTATGTGGTTCTCTATAATTGATATTTATTCTCAATATGGTCTTTCATAAATAATGTTACTCAAAAGATGATTTATTGAGAGATATTTTGGTATTTTGATCATCCAAATTTAAATTATATTCTCGAAACAATCATTTCTGTACAACTAAATGTAAAACTTAAAAAATACATTGACTATAAATAATTTATAAATTATTTAAAACTTAAAAAAATCTTTTAAATTTCAAATGAAATACACATCTCTAATTAGAAAAATCATTTTGGAAAAGCACTTCATTACAAATGATTATTTTAAGAATTAATTCTAAATTTAGAGGATAAAAAATACCATATATTAATCCTCATTTAAGTAACATTATTTATGAAAGACCATCTTGGGAATAAATCTCAATTATAGAGGACCACGTAGGTAATTAAAACTTATTGAGGACTGATTTGGAAAAACACCTTATTATAAAGGACTATTTTGGGAATAAACCTCAATTATAGAGGACCACGTAGGTAATTAAAACTTATTGAGGACTAATTTGGGAAAACACCTTATTACAAAGGACTATTTTGGGAATTTACTCTATTTTATATACTACCTCCGTCTCAGATTATTTGTCCACTTTCATTTTTACACACCATCCAATACACTTCTTTAATTCATTTTATCTTGTAATTTGTATATTAAAAAATTATAGAAACTATATATTAATAATCTATATATTAAGACAAATCAAACAAGATCACACATGACTATATTTAGGCTTACACATTGAGAGAATTTGATGAGTCAAAGTTGTTAGAATAAGTGCCCTTCACTAGAGGGGGGGGGTGAATAGTGAGGCACGAGAATGTTTATAAATTTTCGCGGAATAAAAATCGCAGGGATAAAGTAAAGAGTGGAATAAAAAGGAGTAAAGGGAGCACACCAAGATTTATACTGGTTCACCACAACGTGTGGCTAGTCCAGTCTCCCGAGAGACTCTCTCGAGCTACACTACTTCCGTTAAGCTTACGGGTGCTTAACAAACCGTTACAACCTGAGAACTCGAGTCNTTCAACCCGAAGGAAAATACCTTTCCTTCGTACAACCAAGGGAAACAAGCTTCCCTAAACGTGTTTACAACACTAAGAACACTCAAGAACAAGACTCTCTTTAAGAGTAGATGTTGAGTAAACTATATACGCTCAAGAACAACTCAAACTTCACAAATTGGCTCTAGAAAGCTATGGAAAATGATGTTGTTTGAATGCAATGATAATATGAATAATGTGAAGTGAATTTTTTTTGGTGTAAAGCAGACCCAAACACCCCTTTTTATAGTGCCAAAAAAGGCTCCAACGGACCAATGCATTAAAGGGGTGATTAGCTTGATTAATGGGATTGAAAAGATTTGGGATCTGCAGAATATTGGCTTCCCATCGATGTTTAGGACTTACCCATCGCTGGTAAGCCAATTTTCCTTCAGTTTTGAAGCCAACGGTTACCTACCCATCGATGGGTAAATGCTTCCTGACAGTTGTAGTTTTTCGGGTAGTAAACCTTCCCAGTAAAGGGTTAGTTTTCTCTCCGAGTGTCGTGTCTCTCGAGGAGTGGACGAAGGAAATTAGTTTAATTACTCTAACTAGGCGAAGATTAGGATTGGTTTGTGAAAGTCTTCTCGGAACGATTATAGAAGGAGCAGAGTAAAAATAATAAATTA